CAATTTGTTAAGAATTTTTTGATTTTTTAAATTTTTTATTATTATTTTTTATTATTTATTGTTGTTTTTTTCAATTTTTAGTTAGTAACCTATAATATTGTGTCTAATTTTAAGTGTCATTAAAATCAAATGTTTTTAACTTAATAACTTTAACATTTCTTAATTTAAAACGAAACATCTTCTATTATATTAAGTTAACAAATTTCGAAAAACGACAGAGTCCTTGAAAAATCTATTTTCAATTATTTTCAAATAAATCAAAATACTTTGGATATATGCTGTTAGAAAATCTTACAAACTATTTTTATGTAACATCTTTTTTCAATTTTAACCCAAAAAGGGTTATTTTGCAATTTTTTAAGAATTTTTTGATTTTTTCAATTTTTTATTATTATTTTTTATTATTTATTGTTGTTTTTTCAATTTTTAGTTAGTAACCTATAACATTGTGTCTAATTTTAAGTGTCATTAAAATCAAATGTTTTTAACTTAATAACTTTAACATTTCTTAATTTAAAACGAAACATCTTCTATTATATTAAGTTAACAAATTTCGAAAAACGACAGAGTCCTTGAAAAATCTATTTTCAATTATTTTCAAATAAATCAAAATACTTTGGATATATGCTGTTAGAAAATCTTACAAACTATTTTTATGTAACATCTTTTTTCAATTTTAACCCAAAAAGGGTTATTTTGCAATTTTTTAAGAATTTTTTGATTTTTTCAATTTTTTATTATTATTTTTTATTATTTATTGTTGTTTTTTCAATTTTTAGTTAGTAACCTATAATATTGTGTCTAATTTTAAGTGTCATTAAAATCAAATGTTTTTAACTTACTAATTTTAACATTTCTTAATTTAAAACGAAACATCTTCTATTATATTAAGTTAACAAATTTCGAAAAACAACACCGACCCCGTGACCTCGACACCGTCCTTGAAAAATCTATTTTCAATTATTTTCAAATAAATCAAAATACTTTGCATATATGCTGTTAGAAAATCTTACAAACTATTTTAATGTAACATCTTTTTTCAACTTTAAACCGAAAAAAGGTTATTTTTCAATTTTAACCCGAAAAAGGGTTATTTTGCAATTTTTTAAGAATTTTTTGATTTTTTCAATTTTTTATTATTATTTTTTATTATTTATTGTTGTTTTTTCAATTTTTAGTTAGTAACCTATAATATTGTGTCTAATTTTAAGTGTCATTAAAATCAAATGTTTCTAACTCAATAATTTTAACATTTCTTAATTTAAAACTAAACATCTTCTATTATATTAAGTTAACAAATTTCGAAAAACGAAAACGACCCCGTGACCTCGACACCGTCCTTGAATAATCTATTTTCAATTATTTTCAAATAAATCAAAATACTTTGCATATATGCTGTTAGAAAATCTTACAAACTATTTTTATGTAACATCTTTTTTCAATTTAACCCAAAAAAGGGTTATTTTGCTATTTTTTTAGAATTTTTTGATTTTTTAAGTTTTTTATTATTATTTTTTATTATTTATTGTTATTTTTTCAATTTTTAGTTAGTAACCTATAATATTGTGTCTAATTTTGAGTGTCATTAAAATCAAATGTTTTTAACTTAATAATTTTAACATTTCTTAATTTAAAACGAAACATCTTCTATTATATTAAGTTAACAAATTTCGAAAAACGACACCGACCCCGTGACCTCGACACCGTCCTTCAAAAATCTATTTTCAATTATTTTCAAATAAATCAAAATACTTTGCATATATGTGAAAAATGCATTAAAATTCATTTTAGATAAATTAAAATCCATTAACTTTTGGCATAGTTATACGGTTTTGAAAATGACAATGTTACCCTTAACGTCAAAACTTCAACCCCCTCCACTTTCTACAAATATTTTTTTAATGAGTTTATATTTTAGGGATTTATTACTATCATATAGGAGAACAATTTACCAAAGTATGAAGCCAATCCCAGAACATTGACTTTTTGGGCTGGGGCGATTGAAAAATAATCTCTCATATATGCTGTTAGAAAATCTTACAAACTATTTTTTTTATAAGTCCAAAAAAATTAGAGACTTAGAAAAATATTGATTTTTTTATTTTTAATACTTAATTTTCATTTACAATAATGTAAAGTTATAATATGTTTTAACTTATTCATCGCATCCATTCTGCAATTTTCGTAAGTTGTTTTATTTCTTATTAATTTTTAAATTAATTTTTTATAATTTAGTTTTATATGAGTGATGTTATTAATAAATTATTATAATTTATTATATTATTTTCTTGATGTTACGCAGCCGTTACTACTCAGCGCAGCCAGTTTACAGTTTTTGTTATTAGTTGATTATATTTTATATATTTTGGTTAATGAGGGAGCATATTTTATATATTTTTTTCTTTTAAATGGTTTTTTAATCCATTCTATGCGATATGAACAGTATAATAATAATTATAATATTTTTTTATGGCGCTGCCGTTACAGTTCAGCGCAGCCATTTCCAATTCAATGAATTAATTTATATATAAAGTAGAGTTAGTAGATTTCTTCGTAGTCGAATTTTTTTAAAACATGTGTTAAATATTATTGTAATATTTCTTGGTAAACAATGTTTCTTACATAAATTTCTTTTTCATTGCCTATCTTTTTTTTATTCCTTTTTCGCTATGTGTAATACTTGAATTTTTATATAATAATACTTTAAGATTATATTTTGAAGTTACTCTTGATAAAGCAACATATAATTGTCACGGACTAAAAACATGTGAAGGAAGGTATATGCCTACTTTTTGGAAAGATTGGCCTTGAGATTTGTTGATTGTTAAAGCAAATCCAAGCCTTATTGGAAACTGCTTTCTTGACATTTGAAATGGTATTTCTTCGTTAGACGGTGACAATGTAATTCGTGGCAAAATTACAATCTCATTTTTATAATTTCCCGTTATTACTTGTGCATGAAGAGAAAAACTACCCATTTTAATAACTTTTAGTCTTGTTCCATTACAAAGACCTCTTTCTAAATTAATATTCCTTAAAAGTATCACAATTGCACCAATCTTTAATATTAATTTTTGAGGAGGAAGTCCATTTGGAGTTAAACTATTTAATACTTCAATTGGTATTAAGTTAGTTATTGTGTCACACTTTTCATCTTCTTCAGATGAATCTATACTTAAATATTCTCTAGGTTCACCTGTCATTCGTTTAACAATATCATTATTGAATTCAAATACATCATTATTCCGGAGAACTAGTAATATATGTAAAATCAAACAAGAATCTCTTTATAACGGTTTACTATAGATAATAAAAATAAAAACCGATATTTTAAAAAGTATTTCGATTTATTACGAATATTTTTCTCAAAAATTTGCAAAATCTACATGTGTTTGTGGGACAATTTACATCAATATAATATAATAAAATATAATTTAAGATAAAAAAAATATATTATAATATAATTAATATTGTTGTCATAATTATAATAAAAAAAATCTAATATTTAACAATTGTCATTTCATCCTTCAATGAAACTGATCAAAATTAAGATAAATTTTATACAATATTAATTATATATTAATTTAAAACATAAATTATATATAATATACATAAACTACAATAAGTAAACAACAATAAGTACAATTTTAACCGAGCGTGCGTTAGCGAGCGAGGAATACATCGCTAGTTTTTTATTAAATTAAATAACGCTATTTTGAGAAACAATCATTTTTTAGGGTTTCGTGGCCCATGGCCGAAAGCCTTATAGTTTTACTTTGGCGTCCGTCTGTCCGTAGTATATTTTGGGGCACCACAGCTCCCAAAATCAAATTTTAGGGCACAGATCCCAAATTAAACTTTTTGGGCACCACAGATCCCAAATTCAAATTTTGGGGCCCCACAGATCCCAAATTAAACTTTTGGGGCACCACAGATCCCAAATTCAAATTTTGGGGCCCCACAGATCCCAAATTAAACTTTTGGGGCACCAGAGATCCCAAATTCGAATTTTGGGGGCACCAGAGATCCCAAATTCGAATTTTGGGGCACCACAGATCCCAAATTCAAATTTTGGGGCACCATAGCTCCCAAATTCAAATTTTGGGGCCCCACAGATCCCAAATCTCCATTTACTGAATGGACATTTTCCCGAATGGACATTACATGAATGGACATTACATGTCCCATTAGTTAACATGCCCCTATAATTGACATGTCCCAGTAGTTGACCTGTCTCAGTAATTGACATGTCCCAATAGTTGACATGTCCATATAGTTGACATGTCCCTATAGTTGACATGTCTCTATAGTTGACATGTCCCAGTAGTTGACATGTCCCCTTAAAGCGCCACGAAACCCTAGATGTAGGCGCAATTGCGCCTAGTTCTTTTCCTATTTTTTAAATTCTCGCAATAGTGGAAGTTTGAAACTTAATTTTTTAAGGTTAAGTTGACAGTTATTTCACTTCAATTTAATCAAATTTATCATATCACATTGTGTAGTTTTGTCTTTTATGAAAGAGGAAAAATATGATGGTCAATTTAACCTTAATAAAAAATCAAGTTACAGTGCATAGTATCAAAAAAGATACAAATTTATTAAAATTCACACGTATAACAATATTTACATGTAAATTTTATTATACATTTTTATAACTACTTTAATTATTATTCTTGTAGAATTATTAACATATCAGTTTAAAATAATTTGTAAATTAAATTATTATGGGCTGAATTTAATAATAAAGTCAATAATATTTATTTACAGTCTGCTAAGAGAAAACTAGCTGTTTTATTACTGCAGAAAATAAGTATGTGTAGGAAAAGCAGCGAAAAAAAGAGGAAGTTCCGAGTCCACCCTCTTTGGCAGCAACGTTCGATACTCGGTATGTTATTAAAAAGAAAATACAATTTATTTTGTTTAATTCTATTCAATTTATCTCTTATAAACTTTGTAATTAACTCAACTATTTAGGTGCACACAACTCCTTAGCAAAGGAAATGGTCAAGTATGACCCAACAATGTTAACGAATTATATTCGAATGTCAGTGTCCACATATGAAAAATTACTACTGAAAGTTGGAAGTAAATTGGAAAGCTATCCTACCAGAAAGGATATAATTACTCCATCTGAAAAATTGATGGTAACTTTAAGGTAAAAATCAATTTTTATCTTTTGCAGGGATCATGGATCAAATCCACATATTAAAAATCATTAAATGTACACCACAAGCTTGAATTGTGCTATTGCTTGTATTTTGATCATTGCAAAAATTTGTTTATTTTTTAGAATAAATTGCATAAAATTTTTTCTCCCCGAAACTGAAACTGGCACCTAGTTTTCAGCAACAAGTTAATTTTTTAAAAATTATGTTAGCAATATCATTAAAAAAGTTAATATAAAATTAACTTTATTAATGAAGTAATAATATACCTAAGTAAAGTTACTAAAATTAATTTTATTAACTTTAACTTTCGTCTTCTACCTTAAATTTTGTACTTTTCTTTTTTTCTTACGTTACTATAAATAATTAAAATTTTAATAATAAGTTCACAACAACTCAGGTGAAAATATAATTGATTTTAAATATAATGGCTTTATGATGTTTAAAATGTCTATAGTTGTCATATTGTTTTAGGTATCTTACGACTGGAGAGTCATACACGTCCTTATCACGACAGTTTCGTATGGGGATAAAAACTATTCAAGTTTTTATTCCTCAGACTTTAGCAGCTATTTGGACAACATTGCAGCCAGAGGTGCTTCAATTTCCAAATTCGCCAGACTCTTGGAATGATTTAACAAATGGGTTCAAGGAAAAATGGCAATTTCCAAATTGTTACGGTGCTATCGATGGGAAGCACGTCCTAATGCAGGTTATTTGTAAAATGAGTTATCAGTAGAATAATTTGCTTCATTTTTTCATTATTTTTTTTTATTAAATCTTATAAGATCTACCGTTTTTTGTTCATGGAAGTATAATATGAGGCATTTTATGTGAAAACCGAAATTGATGTCACGGATTTTTTTGTCCTTTTGGTGATCAATAGTGTTCTGTTTGTTAAAAAAGTATACCAAATATTAATTTAGCTTTGCCACAGGTCAGGGAAATCAGAAAAATCATGAAAAGTGAGATTGGTCATAGAAATCAGAGAAAAGTCATGAAATTTAATGAAAAATATCAAATTTCATAAAAATACTACCAAAACTATTATTTTTAAAAATTTTCAATTCAAATTTTTACTTCTAAAAATTATTGTCTTACATTTTTTTTAAGTTTATTATTTTATAAATATTGAATTATTATTAAAAATTTGTTATTTAAAAAAAAATTAATTTCTTAACAAAAGAACGTTTCACATGAATATTTTCTGGAATATTTTTTAATCTTCTGCATTAAACTAAGTTTTCAATTTAGGTTAAATAAATGTTGAATAATATTTTATAAAAAAATTAATAAAAATTTTAAAAAATTGATTAAATGATCAGTTTTGCAAATTATTGAAAATCAGAATTTCGATAAATGTTTTTAAATAATTAAATTATTTTGAAGAATTTGATTAAAATATTATTAAAATAATTAATTTAACTAGGAATTTTAAACAAATGGATATCAATTTTAGATAAAATGGAACTTTTAGAAACTTTTAATTCTATTTTTTTAAAAGAAAATTTAAATTATAAAAGAGTTATAGTGAAGATTTTTGTAAATAATTGAACTTTAGAAGACTTTTTAAATAAAATTTTGAAAATAATTGAATTCTGAGAAAGTTGTAGTTAAGATTTTTAGAAATTATGGAATTTTTGGAAAATTATAATAGAAATTTTTAAAATATCTGAATTTTAGAGAATTTTAAATTTAAAAATATTGTAAATAATGGAATTTTTAAAAAGCTCGATAAAAATCATTAAAAATAATTAAATTTTAAAGAATTTTAAATTGAAAAATGTTTTAAATAATGGAATCTTTTAAGAACTTTTAATTAAAATTTAATTATTATTATATTAACTTTATTTTTTGTCTTTAAGCAATAAATTTAATTATTGGTACTCTTTTTGAAACACCAAAAACACTATTGATCACATATGATGGAAAAAAATTCCTGACATCAATTTGGGTTTTCATATGAAATACCTCATAATAAGGGTGATAATAAGTTCATTAGATAATATTAATTTTGAAATTATTTAAAAATAATTCTATAATTATTATCATACATTTTTAGGGACAACCTGATACTGGATCAGATTATTTTAATTATAAGGCATTCCACAGCATTGTTCTTCTTGCGATGGCAGATGCTAATTACAGGTTTTTAATGGTAGACGTCGGAGGAAAAGGGCGACAGAGTGATGGTGGCATATTAAAACAATGTCAATTTTTTAAAGCTGTTAAGGAAAACAATTTAAATCTACCCCCACCAAAGTCACTGTATGAAGGTGGTCCAAGAATCCCACATGTGGACATTGGTGATGCTGCTTTCGAAAATAGTTTACATTGCTTAACACCATATAAAGGAGCGAAAAGTGGCAATCTTTCTATAGATCAGAACGTGTACAATTACAGACTGAGCAGAGCACGACGTGTCATAGAAAATGCTTTTGTCATTTTAGTTGCCAAGTGGAGAATTTTTAGGACTCCCATTTTGATATATATAGAGGTAATAAAATTAATTGTCTTAGCGACAATTTGTCTACACAACTTTATTATCAGAGAAGAAAAAAAATTGCCAGAGAATTTGCAAAAATACTGTTCTGCAAACTCTGCAGGCCAACTTGGAAGTTTGGAAGACACTGCTTTGCAACCTTTGGTCATTCCTCAAACAAAAACTGACCAACAAAATCTTGCCAGAACGATTAAAAATCACTTTAAAGAATATTTTATAGGTCCAGGAAAAGTTCCGTGGCAAAATAGAGCCGTTTTTGAAGATGATTGAGAAATTATGTGTAAATTAAGCGATCCTTGAATTTATTCTTATATTAAAAATCTTGAATTCTTTTTAAACTCTACGAAAACCGGATTATTAAAATTTTCGAAACTATGTTTAATATAATTTCCCCTAAAATAATGTAAAACTAAATTATTTTATAAAAATATTGATTAAAACGATTTTCTGTGATTTAGATAGTATGTATAATTTGTATGTCTTCAGCAAGATTCTTAGAGTTACTCAAATTATTTAAATAAATCATTTATTTATACTATTATACATGGAGGAACAATTTTTTAGTACAATTTTAGAAAATTGTTCCTCTGAGTATAATAGTATATACTATTTAACATAAAATTTGTATATTTTTTAGTACATATGTGTTTTCGCAATAAGTTTGTTTTATGTACGGAACCCTCGGTTTCAGAGCGAACTGCACTCGAACTTGTCCGATTTTATTTTTTCTATTTATTTAATTTTTAATTTAATTTAGATGCAAAAACAATGTTTTAAAAATATTTCAACTATGGAGTATTAATATTTAATTAGGACATCAACAATAAATATATAACAATGGATACAACTATAACTGTGAGAGGAATGTTTATCAAGAAACTAAGTCATTAACACAGTTTTTAAGTAGTAAATTTTTATTTGGGCTTACCTAAACACAGGCAGTTTCTTTGCTTCTTTTAGTAGTTAACTAGTATTGTTATTATTAATACTTACAACGAATCAGTCATTCTTTAATCACAATAGTATCAATCACATAGGTGATAAATAAACATAAATATTTGAAACATAATTTAAACCACTTTATGAATGACTAATTACAGTAAAACGCTAGTTATCCGATCTAATGTGGACAGTACGTCCCTCGGTTTAGGCGAAAACTCAAAAAATACGGATTGTTATTAATATAATACAATTTAAAATTTGTATTTAAAAAAAGCAACTCGGATGACGCGGACTAGACGCTCTACTGTAAATAGTTCTTAATAAATGAAATTATCGGCATATAGAATCTTGTAAATTTTTCATTATTTTTATCTGAACGTCTATTCTCTCATAATCGTTGTCCAGTTTCTCCAATTCTTTGTCAATAAACATTCCAAATTGTTCACAACTGCTGTATTGTTGTTGCTTTGGTCAAGTTATGGTTTCTACACATTTGAGAATTTCTGCATCGAGTTGCGTGCAGTTCATCTTTTTTGTACCTTCATTAATATAGTTGTAACTCATGAATCTCTATTGATATATTTAAAACCAAAGACAATTAATTAATTTAACTTGTAATGTATGTTGATGCGAATTTCTATATGTATTTATTCACTTTAAACATAATTAAAAATTATCTATCGCGGAAAGAAGATCTTATTCTTATCAACTGTTATATTTAATTTAATTTAAATATTGAATAGGTTATAATAAATCGGTGTAGTGAAATAACCAAATTATCTGGAGCCACCCTGCACTGTAAGAAACATTTTTGCAATTTTTGTTGATAAAATGAAGAAAACATCAACGAAAAAAAATATAATAAAATTTTAGACTTATTATCAAACCCCTTGAAGCATTCTTCTAAAAATGAAGCATAATGTAAAAGTAGACAATTCTACTCATACCTTATTCTATTTTTTTAAATAATTATTTATTATTACTTTTAATTACTTTGAGAAATAGAAAAAATATGTATAAGTAGAGTTTTGTAGTTTTAACTGGTGTTCTTCCTTTGACGTCGAATCCCAGGTCCTTCAGAACATTATTATTATTTTCATTCGCCGTATTGGATGCTGGGACATTGCTAATTCTCCTAAGATTAATAAAATGTAAACTGAAAGCTTAAAATGTAATTCCTTTCAGAATTTAATTCTTTCCCTGCTAAAAATAAAATCACAGATCGTCAAAAAATTAGTCAGGATTTCTGACGTTTTGAGACTGATTTCTGATTTTATTTTTAGCAGGGTTTTGAAAAAATAAAATAAATAAAAAAAATAATAAATTAACAAATTTAAAATAACATAACCAGCTAGCAAATTAAATAATAATTTTTGATTAATTCTCCCACTTTCGAGGTGAATAAGAAATTTAAGCTAATTTGCCCGCTATAGTATTAAATTTTTTACGATTTCAATCATTATATTTTTGTAAAAGGCAAAATATGATTGTCAACTTAACCTTAAAAAATTAAGTTTCAAACTTTCACTATTGCGAGAATTTAAAAAAATGATTGTTTTTCAAAATAGCGTTATTTAATTTAATAAAAAATTTATATTACTTACATGTGTCTCTAAGTTGTTCATTTTTTTAAAAACAATTTTAAAAACAATGAAAACGTTGAAGTAACAAATAGGGTGACTGCCGGTTCATCACGCATGTGCTGCATCACCATTTCGAAAAACATCACCTCAATTACAATGTCAACAGTTTTAACACATTTCTTGTAATATTTTCACCTTTTAGTAAAATAAATTTAGCACAAACGTGTTTTCTCACATTTTATTCAATACTTTATACATATTTATATCCTAAAACTTCATAACTTTCATTAATTACGATTATAATAATCATATATTCAAATCATCCCGCCCTAGAAAACAATTTTCTAAGTTGGTTTCCGCCTTAGAAAACTCATTTCTTACTTAGTTAACTGTTGCAAATCCTGAATACAGTCAGAATTTGTGAGGTGTACAAGCGCCTTAAAGTATAAATTAGCAGTACATTTACACGAATATAGAGATATTGACCAAAGATTTTCACTTTGGCCAAAACAGCGGTAATGCTAGTATCGCTCGTTAATTTTTGACGAAATATTTAGCTACACGGAAAAAACAAACTAACTATTTTAGCACCAAACTGCTCTATCATTTAATAGTATATAATTTGGTTTACCTATTAAAGTATGAAATAATGCTTTTTTGGTTTAAAGTAAGTCCATACTAAATAAGTATAATGGTTATACTCTTATAGTAATAGTGACGTACGCTCGTGCTCAACGATGCCTTCTCTCAGGGAAGGCACTAATTTCATGTAGTTTGCTTCCGCTCTGTGTTGTTTCTATGGAGTAGCGGTTAATTTAGCGGAATGTGAAATGGGAATCTGTCATTTCGAGAGAGGGGTTATATTATTGTTTTGATTTTTCAATAATTTTGAAATTTTAATTTAGTTGTGCATTGGAAAGAAATTTATAATAAAAATTAAAAAGTTCAAAGTGGAGGAGAAACGAGAAAATTATAAAATGTTCGCTTGATTAATAGGTAAGTTGATTAATATATATTAAAAGAAGAATAATATTTATTAACAAGAAATTGTAATTTTTAGGTTATGTGTCTTAGTCAAATTTCAAGCTTTAATTAATTTGATTTCTCAAACAAAAGTTCAAGTTTTTTCAAACAATAAAATGAAAACATGTTGAATATAGATTTGTCAATTACAATGTTTGTTACAAAATTCTAATATGTTTAAAAGATAAGCAAAACAATTTGCCTATTTCGTCTTTCTTGGCGACAATTATTTTAGCATTATTTCTATTTATTCATTTCTTAAATTCTATTAATTGTGTTATTAACTATCTTTGCATTAATTACATGAAAATTGATAATGAATGATTAAATTTATTAATCAAATTTTTGTTAATTAAATCAATTTTTGGGAAAACAAAATTTTTATTTTCAATCCTTTTCGTTATTTATTAATCATATTATTCTTTTGATCTTTACAATAAATATAAGTATAGTGATACGAAAGTACCGTTCAGTAAAATTCAAAAAATTTAATTTTCAGGTGAATGCGATGGATGCTGTAATAAAAATTAAAATGTGATATTAAAAGTAAATTTTCCTGGGAAATTATTGGAAATGGAATTAATTGAAAAAAATGGATTTAATTAAATTAATGGAAATTGCTGGAAAGTTACTTTCGTATAACTATTTATATATATTTTAAAGATAGAAAAAGTGAAATAACGAGAAGTATTCAAAATAAAAATTTTATTATCCAAAACATTGATCATTTCAATCTTTTTTGGTGAAACATTCAAATAATTTATAATAACAGTGGTAGAGAATTAAGAAATAATAATTATTATTATATTTATTATCATTATAAATATTTTCATTATTATATGATAATTTTCTTTTTATTAAAAACAACAACCTTACCACGTTTACAGGTTAGGTTTATTCTTATAAATGTGAATCACAGCTTCATTTTGATATTACGATATCATATAATATCATATTCATAATATTCATTAGATTGTAAAACATTTTTATGAAATTTGTAAAGAATCAATTGCTTTCACTCCAATTTTCACAAAATTTCAATTACAGTAGAACCCTGATTATCCCAGCTTGCTTTATCCGAGATCTCGATTATTCGAGGTGGCGTCAGAAAAAAATTTTTGATAAATATTGCATATATTCTTTTTCTATTGATTGTTTACAAACGATCTAAATATTATTTTTATCATTGTAAAGAAAGTTTGTTTTTAAAAAATAATATTTTAGAATTACCAAAGAATATTTAAAAAGAATTACACATAAATATGTAATTGTTCGAATAATTATAGTTAATAAATATTTAATAGTTTTTGAAAAATTATTATTATTTTAGTAAATTGTTTAAGAAATTATCGAATATGAATATAAAAAATACCTTTCTTGTTTGTAGTAAAGACATTTTTAAGAATAAAATGTTAAATTACATATATTAGAATAAAAGTCCGTGTTATCCGAGTTTTCGCTTTATCCGAGGTGGGTCCAGTCCACATTATCTCGGATAACCGAGGTTCTACTGTATATATTTTGAACATTTAGTTATTTTAAAGATTTGACTGCAGCTATTTTTCACAATAATGGAATTCAAAATAAGTTACATTTTTATACCAAAATAGTCGCGTGTCGTTTGAAATATTTGGGATAAAACTTGAGAAAATCGAATTTTTTGAAAACAAATTTTAAAAAGTGGTCTTTTTCTTTCAAATAGTCTGAAAAAGTCTAAAAGGTATGCTATCCAAGGTCTGAAAAGAAAATGAAAATTATTCAGAAACTTGATTTTTTAAAAATATTTTCTAAAAATTATATCAAGTAATCTAATTATTGTCAAAAGATTTTATTAAATTTTATCTTATATTATTATAAAATCTAATATTATTCAAAAATGCGTTTGGTCTAAGGTATTAGTGACTACAGTCTCATTTTTTATTTAATAAGTCAATATGACCTTAGACCAAATGAATTACCAATATAAGTCGAAACGAAAAACCAGATCTATTCGTTAAAGAAATCATTTAAAAATTGTTTGAAATATTTAAAAAAAGATAATTTAAACATATTTTTTGTTAATTTAATTATTTTTACTACTTTTGTTTATATATTTTTTAAATTCCTGTGGAAAAATAAATGACAAGTATTTAAATTTTCGTATTAAACAAAATTATTGATTTTTATTCGCCTTTTCTATAATCTTCAATTGACTAAAGTGCCTTTTTTTACAGACTTGTGCAAATGTTTCATATCTTGATCACAATGTATCATGTGTGAAAGGAGGCGAAGCTTTGGGAATCACAAATGGATTTCGAGGATGCGCTATTTGGCTGGCAGGATTATCTGGAGTAGGTAAAAATTGTGACGTTGTAAAATTTACAATTTTACAAATCACAAAGGTTTATTTATTTTTCAATATATTAAATAACTTTGTTTATTATTTGTTGGAATGGTAGTAATAAAAAGAACACACGAATTTAAATAACGAAAGTATCTTTTATTCACTCTTGTCGAGACACAGCGTAGTAGGCGGACGCAAGCGAAGTGAGCCGCACTCTGCTACACGTCAGTGCTGTAGTAATAAAGGGGCGATTGGGGAGTACGTTAATTCCGACACTCCCTCCCGTACAACACAATCAACCTTTTTAATATTTTGAAAATAAACATATTTAAACTTATATTTTTTTTAAGAACGTAACTATTATAAAAATAGAACTCTTTGAACTTTGGAACAATCTCGTCGTTAATCAGTCTCTCATCTTCATTAATCCCTCGTCTCTCAATCTAATATCCTTATTTGGAAATCTAGCCTGTGAACAGATAAAATTTATTAGTTAAGTACTCATTAACTTATTAACTAGGTGATTATGCAATTCAAATGATAGGGGTTTCGTGAATATATCAGCTATCTGATCTTTTGATCGAATCCACTTTACAGTTATTAATCCATTTTTCACACATTCTTTAATGTGATGAGCTTTAATTTCAACAATGTGTCTCAGTTTATTCCCGCCATTTGTTTCTGCTCCCACACCTGCAGCTTTGTTATCGCACCATAATATCATTGGAATAAGGGGCTCTTTCAAGATTAATTTCAAGGAATTGTACATGGACAACATCTCTTGACTCGCCTCACTCATCGCAACATACTCAGCGTGACACGTCGAAAGAGCAACATAGGCCATACTTAAAGCTACTTTAGTAAATTTATCATTCCATCTCTTCGGACTTATTCGCAGACCATAAAGAGCTCGTCTTAATTTACACACTTTTTCTCTTCTATCTCGATCAGAATGTAGAGTTCCTTCAGGAATTTCCATCAAAATTTCTTCATCAATCACACCATTCAAGAAAGCAGTTTTCACGTCTAGTTAATAAACTTTCAAATTGTATTTGTTTACAATCGCAATCACAGCTCTCACCAAAGGAAGTCTTGAAACAGGAGCATAAGTTTCTTTTAATTCGTATACGTTCTTATCTTTAAAGCCTCTAATAACAAGCCTAGCTTTGAATATAATATTACCATCCGGTTCGATTTTCCGCTTAAAAACCCATCGCGAATCAATAATATTAGCTTTTTGTCCATTTCTCATCTTTGTTGGACGATTCACAATTTCCCAAACATCATTTTTATTCAAGGACTTTAACTCATCTTCAATAGCTAATTGCCACAAATTGTTATTAGTTGACATCGCTTCTTTGTAATTAACTGGATCTAAATTAATTTTAGCCAAAAGCGCATGATAAATGTCGTCATTTATGTCATTAGTTACATTCTCAACTTTGTCATCGCATACATTTGTTGACAAAACATTCGCCTTTTGTGACTCATTAAATTCTAAATCAGAAAAACTCACATCTTCGACAGTTTTCGTTTCAACTTTTCTTTCAACCAAAATTTCACTCTCATTAATTTCCGTCACATCTTTTCTTGGTCTTCCCCTCTTTCTTTTGATCTCTCCCTCCGGTTTCAATGAATCATACGAATTTTCCTCATCTTTATCGAAGTCAATGAACCATTTTTCTTTATCGATTTCATTATCAAGTGAAGAAAAATCTTTGATCGCATTTTTTAAAAATCTATCTCCATAAACAATTTTCTCATTGAATCGCAGCTCCCTGCTTTCATAGAATTTTCCTTCCTCAGGTCTCAAGAACTGATAACCAGTTGGAGTATAACCTACCATAACAACACGTCTTCCTTCAGCTCTGAATTTAGGACCAACTTTTCGATGTACCTTGATATAGGCTATGCAGCCAAATCTTTTCAACTGATTGATATCAAAGTGATGATCAGGAGCGAATCTTTCCAATGGAGTTATCATATCATTTGCTTTATGTGGCGTTCTATTATATGCATATACAGCAGCGGTCACAGCCAGATCCCAGAGATTTTCAGGTAATTTCGCGTCGTACATATAACTTCGAATTTTCTTTTGAATTGTCTGATTGAAACATTCTGATGTTCCGTTGTGTTCAGGAGTATCCGGACAAGATAATTGCAATTCCGCGCCTAATTTTTGCAATACTTCAATTGTAAACCCACCTGTATATTTAGTACCATGATCTGTTCTTAAATAACACACCTTCGCGTCATAACCTAACAAATTTCGCGCACTTCTAACAAACATTTGCAAACAATAGCCTGTTTCACTTTTTGCTTTCATTGGATAGGCCATAGCTAACCGAGAATAGTCATCAATGAAAACCGAAATGAATCTATAATTTCGAGGATACGAAGTTGGTGAAATAGGACCCATCAAGTCTGAATGTATAATTTGCAAAACGGCACTTGCTCGTCTTCGAGTATTTGAAAATGGCAATTTATTGAATTTTGATATTTGACATACTTCGCAATCTCGAATTTTCTCATCAAATTTAGCTGAAATTAAATCTTTATTGTCTGGAAACTTTCTTTGGAAAGCTTTCAAATACTCAAGAGAAGCATGGCCGAATCTAACATGCCACAATAACGCTTTATTGTCCCTAGTAAATTTTTTATCGTTGATCAAAATTGAGGTTTTTTCTTCATTTAATTCCACAATTGGTAACTCATCGACATTGTGAAATTTCCTATCCCAAATTGTTACGTCAAAATTTGATTGCTCATAAAGAGTTTTTCTTTCTTTTAATTTCTCATCTGATATAATTGTGATTTCTACATTCTCATCTTTTTGTTTTTCGTCTATCGAATTTTCTTTAATTACCTCATCTATTATCATTTTTTCGAAATCAACAATTCCAAATTCTGAGTTATTTTCTACATTTTCTTTAATTAATTTTTCTTTCGCAGTGACACTTCTTGTATTATACTTTTTGGTTTCTAATTTGTTTTGAACTAAATTTGCAAAATACCTTTTATTAAAACCTTTAACTTGATAATCATTTTTAAATTCGCTCTTATTCACTTCTAGTTCAATTATCCAATATGGTTTCTTATACACACCGCATAAATATGTTTCGTTCGAAGTAGGATCGAAAATATCGATTTTCTCATCATCTAGATACACACCAAGACCCGATTCGACAAATTTTCGCAAGGACAATAGGTTTTCTTTCAAGGCTTCCGCAAAGATTACTTTGTCAAATTCTAAAATTCTCCCATCTTTTAATTTTACTTCAACATTACCTACTCCCTCCGTTTTCAAATTAGCTGAACTGTTTTTATTAGCACATTTAATTATTCCTAAATCGGATTCGTCAAACTTTTTAAAAATTATTTTCGAATTTGTCAAATGTTCAGTCGTACCTGAATCAGTCAAAAACTCTACCATAATTTTATTATCATTTGAATCACATTCATTTTTATTATTTACATTTGTAAAATAGGAATTACAATCAACATCCATTTCACACACATCATTATTATGTAAAACAAATTCTGAAGTCTCACCTTTATTATTTTTCTTTTCCGTTGATTTATCTTCATTGTTTCGATTTGATGATTTGTTGGGATTTTTATTATCAGGAGTTTTGTTTCTATTATTTACTCGCTGATAATTACCCCTTGATCTACCTCTACCACTAAAACTACCTCGTCCTCTTTTGGGGTAATTATTAAACTCGATATTCCCTTTTCTTTTTATACCTCGCCTCTTATTATTTGAATAATTGGAGTTAAATTGATCATTCGACTTACCGAATTTAGAATGACCTCGGCCAAAACTTCTCTCCCTCGAATAACCACTAGAAGTTGATGGTTGATTTGGGCAATCAGCCGCGATGTGATACCCAAAAGTATTACAACTGTAACAGAGGTAACCTTTTCCCTTGTTGGGACAGTTCGCGGCAAGGGGTGTTTTCGGCATTCACTCAGAGTTAACTCTAGAGTTAACAGTGGTGCTCAATGATATTATCTTTGAAAATTTATTTACCCAAATAAAATAATTGATTTTCTATTTTCATCACCCTGAGTTTGAAGATAGTTGTCCTTGTTTGCTTACTTTTTTTTAATTTATACGTATTTTTTGTTTTTCATTTAAAAATGGAACATATTTTTGCTACCCATAAACGTGTTATTTTTTTAAAGTTTATAATTTTCAAATTTTTCATTATTTCCCTAACTTTAATTAATCTGAATTGTTTAAGAAACTAGATTATTTATTTTAATTAAAGTTGCTTTTTATAAATAAAAAGTTAAAATAATTTTTAATAAAAATAAATTATTATGTTTCAATTTACACTTTTCAAACAAACAATCCGTTCACAAATTTTGTCGGCCATTAAAGGTTAGGACTGACCCTTTTTATTTACTCTCGCAAGAAAACAGAGTTAACTCTGGGTCATCTAGTAATAAATTTTTGGGGACTTTTATGAAATCTAGAAACAAAAAATTTTATTTTAACATTACATTACTAGAATAAAAGGCCCGTTTCACATATTGTTACAATTGCAAACCCTGCGCCAATCAAAATGAATCGTCTATGCCAAATTGCCAATCAACAACGTTCACAACCAACAGACGAACTGAAAATCAAAATTTACATTTGAGCACCACTGCTAACTCTAGAGTTAACTCTGAGTGAATGCCGAAAACACCCAAGATGTCCCGATGCTTGACATTTATAGCATCTGTCTCTGTCTTTGTCTCTGTTTACAGAGAAGGCCGCTCTCGTCTCTCTTAATCCATTATTTGATTGCCGTCTATTTGCCTCTTCCTGTAATACCAATAATTTTAACTCTTCGTATTTTACACTCTTACCCTTTGTATTTTTCGATACGAACTCGACTGTTTGAATAGATGGTACAGAGACCATGACAGCATTGTAAAACGCATCTCTTTTCTCATTTTCAGACAATGAGGTCGCACCAGGAGAATTCTCATAATTTCTAATCGTTTCTTCGAATTTTTCGCAAAATTCTGCAGCGGTGGTTTTGCCAATGATGTATTGCATGCTATAGATTTGTTTTCTCACGGTATGAGAATTGACATTTGTTTCACATCTTTTTATGTCTTTTAATTTATTCAAGATCTCGATTGGATTTTTAAAATGCATTACTTTTGCATGATAATTTTGATCAATATGATTGATCAAAACATCGCGAACTTTGAAGTTTTGTTCCAATAAAACTTTCTCGTCAGTAATATTGTTTTCGATTTCCGAATCCACAACATGCAATAGATCACAGGCCCTTAGTTCCGATGAGAAATAATCATAGAAATGTTCAAATTTCATATTATTTGTCAGTTTATAGTCTCTTTTTAAACCCATCCCTTTATTAACGATTTCTAATTTTACAGTTTCTTTCGCGTTAAAAAGTTTACCCTGTGTTTGAACGTTATTGCTTGAACCATTTTTATTTATTTTGTCAAATTGTTCTTTGAAAATATTAATCACTTCATTTTAAAATTCTGAGCTTTTCCCCTGTGTATCGATTTTATCATTATTTTGATCAGAAATTTTTACCTCTATACCAACAGCATTGTTTTCCTCATCTCGCTCGTTTCGCCTGTTCCTTTGTTGCAAGGATGTTTTGATTTCTGCCAAGGAATTGACAGACTCTTGAATCTTAATGACTTGATCGGCATAATTATTTCTAATCACATCGATCAACAATTGCAAATTTCCCTGATCTATCCTGAATTGTCTGAACTCGTCTACTTCTGTTTTTATATTTCCCATCACCTGCGCAATGCCGTTGATAGCATTGCCAGTTGACTCGCAGAAGTTTTTGAAGGACGAAATAACTTCGCCCCATTTGTTTTCTTGTAATTCCAGGCGCTTTACAACTGAAATTAAATTCTGACCATTAGGATTACTAGTTTTTATATTATTAGTCAAATTAGGATTTAACATTTGTTTTATTAATTGAGGATTGTAATTGACTTGTATGTTGTCAGTCAATTTTGGTTTACCTTCATTCAATTTGTCATCTATATTTTTCAGAATCTCCTTTTTCATCTCTTCTCTCGTCTTTTGCTCACTGCTCTCCTTGGTCTCACCAACCTCTCGGTATTTAATAAATATTTTTAATAATATGCAATATTAAAATTTAACATAAGTAAATATTATTTATTTAATTAAATACAAATTTTATTAATCACATCTGCTTACCGGTTTTGTATTCGTTACCCTGTTCCATTTGAAGGGTCAAAGAATCTCCTTCAAGTTTTAGTATAATTAACTCATCTGGATGAATTTCATTTAACATGAAGGTACTATTTAAATTACACCAAAAATTTGTCAACTCGTTCTCTTCTCAAAATATGTTTAAATTATATTTTATTTCTTAATTTTGTAATTAAATTGATCAATCCAATAAAAGTTTAATTTAAACAAACTCGTCTCAAAATATAAATTTGGATATTTAAATTTTCGCGCGTTTTATCATGTGAGGATAAAGTAGGTTTCTATTTATCCCCTCATTTTCTCCTCTTTGCGATTCGGACCCTGGCGGATTCGATTTGCGTAATGTCTACTTAACTAAGCGGACTTTAGGTAGACATTAGGTAGACATGTAAAAAAACGTATAAAAAAGCTATTAATCGACTTATTATGATAAAAAAAAGTTGATAAAAGGGTAAATGAATGTTTATAGAGTAAATTCGTACAAAATTTGTAATTAATAAAGCAATAAATAATTAATAATGAATGGAAATGTGCGCGAGGTACCTGATCAGTTCAGCTGTACAATTATTTTCGTGCTATTTTCATGAAAAGAATATAAATTAACTGCAAAAACAATTGATATTTATAAAAAAGTGTAAAATTGATTTAATTTTATTGTTTGCAATACGAATTATTAAATAATAATTAAGTTTTTATCAAATGTGAATAGTGTTGTGAAAACCTGTGAAAACTAATGAGTTACTACATTACCGATCGCATATGAGAGATGGCGCCACCAGTTTTTACAATACAGTCCGAGCT